AGTACACTAGCTTTGGAGCTTTTTTTTTTAGAGGTTACTCACCTTACAACTTTTCTTTGACATCTCTTTTTATTTAAAAAATGTTTAGCACATTTCCATCTAATGAGATATATATACAATAACAACCAAACCAAACATTCTTTCATTAAATAGGATTGATTACATGATCAACTTTTACGATAATGTTTTATTTAAAATCATGTTTTTAGTTAAATTGTTAAATTCAATATCATAATCGTTTTAAATTTTCCTCTTTTTCTAATTGTTCACCTTCTCTTCGTCTGATATATTCTCCTGACCGCATGATTTACTGGTCTTATCTCTACATGTCAAATATCTAAGTATATTTTTCACCATCTTCTCTATTATAGATGTTATCCCAATACTCTAATATTTTCATTTCTAATTTTATTCTTTCTAGTTTTACCACACATTCAACACAACATCTTCATCTCTGTTACATTTATTTTATTCTCGTATTGTTTGTTAAATGTCAAATATTCTATCTCGTACAACAACAGTGGTCTTACTGCAGTTCCATAAAATTTTCCCTTCAGATTGAGTAGTACTTTTGCATCACGTAGAACCCCTAAAGCCTCCTCCATCTCAGTCACCAGTTTGAATTCGAGAGCTTACATCCATTTTTATTTCTTCATCGTTTTGTATTACAGACCAAAATATTTATATTGTGTCATTTCAAGGATAATATAATCTCCAACTTTCACCTTTAGATTAAAAACACTGTTAAGTTTATATTTCATATATTCCGACTTACCTCAAAATTATTTTTTTATCTCAAACTTACAAATTAATTCACACTTTAAAAATTATAGATATCATAAATCACTTTGTTTGTATATCAAGTAGTACATATTAGTAGTAGCGGCGTGCAATTAAATAATTATAAATATACCATAATTTTATATTTGAGATGACTTGAAAATTGTTCTTTTCGTTTTATAATGAGTGATTCGGTTGATCATTTTATGTGGATTTTAAAAAAATGAATAAATGAAATAGAGAATGATACTTTTACTAAAATATACATTATTAAATATTAAAAATGATTAAAGTAATATAAACGTAAAATTTTATATATATATATATATATATATATATATATATATATATATATATATATATATATATATATATATATATATATATATATATATATATATATATATATATATATATATATATATATATATATATATATATATTAAAAATTGAAATGAATATTTATTTTGAGGGATGAAATTATCATTCAATCATAGAATTCAACTAATGTTGTGTGTGTTTCAGAATAAATCTAAACTTGTATAAATAGGGATCATGTGTTAAAAAAAACGTCTTAAAATGTCTCACTATTCGTTTATGTCATGCGTGTACTTCAAAACAAGTGAAACCTCCAATTGATTTTGGGCTCCCAAAAGACACCATATATATATCGCTATTCTGATATTCATATTGAATAATATGTTGTCTGACATCGAGAACAGAAATATAGGTAAGATCGAGTTTCATGCACCATGGACTGATATCGATGAAAGGGTGAAATACGACCATTTTGAGTTGAAGATCGATAAAGATTTAAAGGTTATGTGAGTTATGTAATTTATGTGCTAAGTTAGTTAATTGTAATGTGGTAAGTTGTGTTCATCATTGCAATAATGAAAGCAACAAAGTATTATCTAATAAACAGTTTAAACTTATGAGTAACAATTCACATAATATACAAATAATACAAAATTAATAATATTGTCTACAGAGGTCCCACACGAGCTATGCGTCTTGCCTGCAATGGCAAAGTATAAACCTCACCATCTGAATTTATTGAACTTGTGTGGTTATCCATTATTATTGCTATCATTTGTAGAAATTGTTTGTCATTCATACCATGTGGAGGCGGCGGCACGTCATCCGAAGGTACCCCATCATCAAAAGGTCTGACATCATCTTCATGCTCAATATGTGAGATGAAGTGAGGGTGTGATATAGTAAGGTATTAGTCCAAGTACCCATCCACACACAGCGTAGCAAATTGAACTCACACTGCATGATCTCTAATGGCGCCGACAGAGGTGATAACGTTATTAACAAATCATTTATCAGTGCCCTCAGATTGAATAGCGGGGACTAGTCGTGGGATGTCCTGGACATACCTAAATTAGAGCAGACACCTCTCAGGTAAGTGTCTAGCCACCAAGGTCTCCCATCGCAGATAAGCATAAAATAGTAAAGTGTCATCGAACTCCTGATACATTCTTTGGTTAGCCTATGATGTCCTGATGGAATTGTCTACAATCAGCACATTAATCCTCTTCATGTACTCCAAAATATCGCATGGGTGTGCATGCCTGGACTTCCATCTCTTAGCCAATGTGAAGCCAGCAGTGGTAGGAATAACACGTCTATCAAAAATTGAGGGGAAATGCTTGTATATCCAACACTGCACAAGAACATGGGCAAATCAAGAAATGTCATAATTAATAACTAATTTAATAAAAAATAATAAATATGAATGCTTGAAATAAACTCATATAACAGAAAAGCTACCTAGTCTGCTACCTAGTCTCAAAGACAGTTGTCTCTCTAAGTGTTGCATGTAGAACAGTTAGTCCAACACACTCTCATGCCCAACTGACATGGTCAAGGTTACTAAACAGTCACATGTATTTCGCATCAATATATACATTAGACTTATCCTCTAAGATAGTATATTCTACAAAATATAGCATGTATACCCTAACAGTTGTCTTATACATAAACTGATGCACCAGCTCGACATACCTATCTTGGAGCCAAGATATGCAAAAGTGAGCACCCCTGTTAAACATAAACTCCTCTAACACCTTATCCTCAGTAAACCCCAGGTCTTGTATAACAGTAATACATGTTAGCTCCTGGCTAATGAGAGAAACGGTGAAGAAACTTCCTAATATGGGAAGATAGAACAGAGATAAGACATCATTCAAGGTAATTGTCATCTCACTAAATAGAAGATTGAAGGAAATTGTCCCCTTATGTCATCGCTCAACAAAGACTCTCAATAGTGAACATTCCACTAATGAAAGGAGACTATAATCCTCTACAATCGCCCAAACCTCTCGTGGCATCGGGGCATCTAAGAACTTCTTCAGCTTCGCCTTGTGGATGGGGGACACCTTCAGTGGCAGTCGGTCTTGTAACAAACAAAGTAAAAAGCATCAGTTATTTTTAACATATCAATAATAAATAAAGTAAGGTTAAACATAACATATAGATGCCTTTCTCTTCCATTATATGAATGTCACATGATTGGCATATCCAATGCACTAAGCCCTTCAAGAAACCCTTCATCTGTGTGCATAAATGGTTATGTCGAAGTCAGAATATTAACCCTTATATTAACCAGAGGAGTAACCTTCATATCACCCGTAGCAGGCGGAATAACCTCCATATCACCCATTGCATGCGCATTTGTATCTGACTAAGGAGTAACCTATGTGTCATTCAGAGCAACCATCTCATAATGATGGGGCAGCTTTATCTCGATCACCATCTGCCTGTCACTCTGACCCTTTAAATCCTCACCTGCAGCAACTGCTTCATCATCAGGATCTCTAGTCCATTCATCAGCTGCTCTAGATCCTTTACATCAGATATTGTGAAATGCGTGAAACTGCTCGGTTTTCATTCGCCTCCTACGAGAACTGGGCGAACTACTCTTTCCACCCGAATATGCGAGTTCTCAATGGCATTTCCCCTCGCACGAGCCCTCGCGCAGGAGCTACAACTCTATCATGCTATCTAGAAGCAATTGTGTCGTCTGGTCCTCACTGGAAATACAAAAAAAAAAAGCAATTTAAACTACCAGATCTTTTTTAAATCTGAAAAACCTCATGCATTTTCCAAATTTTTTGAAATTCCCTGTTACCCTAAGAAACATTTTCCACTATCGATTTTTTTCAAAATCATTTGTATAATTGATCGCCTTTTTATCATTTTTTTAAAATCTAGTATAAAACATGCATTTTTTTGGTTTTTTCAAAATACTCGGAAAAAAACATGCTTTTTTTTTACCGTTTTCAAAAAGTTCTGTAGAAATTATGCATTTCTCCCTAATTTTTCTAAATATCCTATACAAAGTATGAACTTTTACTAGATTTTTAAAATATTTAATAAAAATACATGTTTTCTCTAAAATTCATTAAAAATGTATATTTACTGTTCATAAATCAGATAGTTTGAAATTCGTATGGTATTGCATAATATTTGGAGGTACCATGTCAAATTTAGGAAGTGGCAAGATAAATTATATATGTTCTCTAAACAGAGGGTAAGGCTCAGTTTTAAAAGGTTTTATAAATTGGCATCTCTACATTTAGACAGATCAAAATTAATTCTACCATTCTAAAATTAATTAATTTTAACTACATTATTTCAAAAATGAAACGAAACATACAATATGGAGACATAAAGCCAACCCCAAACAGATAAATGTGTATATTTCCAATTAAGGCCTACATCCATTATAAGGCATTATGGTGAGCTAAATACCAAGAAAACAACTTTGTTCACCGGAAGTGTATATTTTGATGGGACAATACATATATGTTAGTTTTGATATGCATGGTGAATCTTAAATTTGAATAAAAAATTATGTTGGCAGTGATGCTTATTGCTTAATGGTATCCTATATTTTTGTTGCAGAGAGGAAAATAGATATATTTGCTTTTTGGTTGGTAAGTATATTCTCTAAACCTGCCTAGATTTGTTACAAAATTATTGAGTTTGTCACAATAAAACAGAATCTCGTAAGTCACTTGGAGCAAAAACATCAACCGATTTTCTCTTTCAAAGGTGACAACAAACTTGAAATCTTAGACATGTTAAATGATGTTTCAACTCAACATTATCCTGTCCTGGGTCAGTTCGATGTTGTTTCAGCTATCTATAGACAGAGTTTAGATCTGACACCCCCCTTCAAAAAAGTAACAACAACAACAAAAACCAAATCACCTCCCAAAACAAGTCATTATTCTGGATGTTAAAGCAGAAGTGAGAAATCTCATTCCAGCAGATCCACCAGGAAAATATGATATAGCATAGTATCCAAGTGAAAGAACCTGCAAGTATAATCAAAGCATCATTTTCAATACAAGATTAGCCTTAGAAAGAAACAGAATAAATAGTATATGCAAAAATATCTAAGATCTATTGCTACACTCTAGTCACAAATATCCAGCCACTAAAAATTTGATTTCTATTTAAATTCAAGATTTTACTATACAGTTACTATACATCAAATCCACAGCAAATGTTATTAGTTACAGCCTTACAGGAGGGAAGGGGAAGAGCAAAAGCAACAGACAAACATTCCAACTTATTAAGGATCCATGAAATTAATACCTGTACAACAGAGAATACAACAGAGAGAATGTAGCTATGTAACACCATAGATACGTAAATGGTGCCAACCATACTGCATAAAAACCCCAGTGTGAATGGGAGCCTCTGGAAAAAATTGGACAGTTATGAGAAGGCATAAAAAATGCAATCAAAACATAGGGATTATTATACTAAGAAGTCAAATGAACTCACTTAAGCAACATATAAATAATGAAATGTGCAGTTATTTTATAAGCTTGAAAACAAAGAGAGAGACGAAATTCTGGTAACTTACCTCCTTCGAAATCATGTGAGAAAGCTGATTCTTTGGCCCTTTTAGAGCAAAGAACGACCCGATAATAAACCCACACCCAAGCGTAAAGCATATAGCAAACTTTTGGGGCATAACCACCATGATAGGCAGGAACAAGGTAAATGCAATGAAAATGAAGAAGACACCGCTGGCTAGAAATAAACCAAAATACAGGAGAGCTTTTCCAGAAGGAACATTGCTAGTCGCAGATGAGAAGTTTCCAGGTATATCTCTCACACTTTTAGAAACCCTGACAATTATAAATAAATAAATAAAAATTGTTTAACTAACTGAGTCATAATTACAGGAAAAATAGTTTAGTAGTGATTGTGCTACGGAATGCTTCTTCCCAACATGATATTTCACTGTGATGCAGACAATTCATGCAAAAAGAAAGTAAATTGCGCCAACCCATTATCTTTTCTTCCCATGCTGAATTATACTATCAAGAAGAAAACCTAAAGAATAATAACAATGAGGCTTGATAGTTGATAATGTACTTGCAATGCTAAATACAAAAAGTGTTACAGACACCAAAACTTAACCATAACAAGTCAATAAAAGTCATAATACCCTGAATCAACTATCCAAAAATAACATTATTGGATGAAAAGTTAAAAGAGTACTCAAAGACTAATCTGAAGTGCTTAAGAATAATGAACACAGCATGTGGTGATTAGATACACAATAAGTAAATTGCAGTCTGCAATTTATAGGAAGAATAAATAAGTTAAACCATTTCCAAGAGAAGAGATGGTTTTCATTTTACTTGAAACTTGTCACTAACTAGTTGTATTAAATACAACTGAAAACTAAGCATAAGAAGAGGAAACATAGTGAATCTTCGCGCACCTTTTTATGCTAGTTCACATATGACATATGGATCAAGCTTGTGACATGTATGTTATCCTTGAACTCTAGAGTGACGTAATGAACATACCCGCCGGTTGTTCATTAGGATTAAATGATATTGTGATTTCTTTAGATATAACTGGACTAGAGACAATGTTTGGTGGAGAAATAAGACTCGTAGTCCTTACTCACAAAATTTTAGTTCAAAAGGAGATTGTTTTAGCGATATGGGTTCACGTGTGATAAGAGTCATAACTAAGTATTCTGTCTTTGCACTAAATCTATCAATAATATTCTAATTGTTCTTCCAAGAAATGCGATTACCTCAAATTAGAACACAATAACCTAAAAAGTTTATGGCCTACTATATATGGCCTACTATATATGGCCTACTATATATTCTAATTGACAAAAGCAGTATAGCCTCTATTACAAGAATCAATCCTCTTCCAGAAGAGCCATTTGTGTAGTATCTCAATAATTTGAACTACTACACTACACTGACTGCATAGTTAATAGTCCCAGCTAGTAGCAAGTAAAGGCTGATGCCAAAAACGCTACAGCAGGATGGCCACCATACTAAAATTTTCGATAAAGGCTGAGTAATTTATAACATTAATGCTCAAGATTCAAGGTATGTCATAACTTATAAACATTCATTGGTTTTAAGTTAAGCATTTACAATAATCATGGAAATGATGCCTAAGAACTGATAAACTCGAAACTAGAGCATGAGAGAGTAGCAATAATGAAGTCAAACTTCGAAAACCCTAAACAAGGTTGAGAGTAATTTGAGAAAACCATAAAATAAAAAGGAACAGCAATTAAAAAACACTTGTAAGCAAATAACAGAGGATGTAGATCAAAAGAGCCGAAAGGGAAAATAAGGAAGATTATAAAAACCAGAGCATGTGAAAAAGTGTCAACAAAATGATGCCAAAAACAGGCAAACTCGACCAAAATGACATCAGACAATAGTGGGTTTGGCAAGAAGGAAGCTCAGAAGTTTAAATATGGAGGCTCTCTGATTTAACATGTAACAAGAAATAAAGGATTTAACTCTCATATCTGAAAAAAGGAGGGACAAAATCCTAATTATCTTTCTAAATCATTCAAAAACGAGCATGTGACATGGGCAAAAGAAGCCTTCTGAAAACATTACACTCTCAAAACAGCAAAGCTCAAGATCTCCACAAATAAGAATGAAACATAGCAAAGAAGTAGCAGCTAGGGACAACTTTGATCTGCTCCTCTATTATCACACCACAGTGTTGCGCTATTGAGTGAAAACTGACAACTATGAATGTAGCAGCTAAGGAGAATTAAGAAACTACCTAAGGAGAACTAAGAAACTAGCTAACAACGCTTAAAATAAGCAATAAACCGAGTCTAATCATCACAATTCATAAGCTACTTAAACTTCTCAATACCAACCACTCTGCCATACCTTCCTGAATTTAACTCACTCTCCCTGAACTAACCAATGCTTAACATCAGAGTCCATATGAGTCATAATTAATTGGTTTAAGAACCAAACTTCTACAGCATTCAACTAGTTCATATAGTTTTTCCCATTGACTTTTGTTACACTATCAATGAAATACCTAAAAATAAATGCAAATGAAACAAGAACCATCATATCTGCAATCGGATTACAACTTGTTGTGTTCCTGAGTCGGAATTTATAATTCTACTCTTACGGAATTGAAACACACTTTAGCATAATAATGATTCCTAATACTGCAAACAAAAATGAAAGAAAACCTAATTGAATCGTGTATATAATGCAATTGGAATGAAGATTAAGTAGAAAAAGTTACACGCTGAAAGTGCCAGTGACAGTGTTGTTAGCAGATCTAACAGCGGATTCCAGATCGAAGCTGATGGCGGAATTGGAAGGGTCTTGCTCCTGTTGAGATGTAGCGTATGAGTTCCAATCTGCAAGCAAGGAAGATGAAGAAGAAGAGGAAGCTGGTTTCTGCTGATCGTCGCTGGGTGAGGTTGAAGATGAGAACCAACTCTCCATTTTTGGAAAATTTGATTGATATTTACAACATTTTTTTTCTTTTGGATTTTGAGAGAAGGTGGTGGTGTAACTCACACGCTAGTGAGAGTGGAATTCAGGAATGGGAAGTGAAAAAGGAAAGAAATTGAAAATATAATGTGTGAGCGGTTGACGGTTGCGGTAGGTGTTTGGGATTTGCATCTATTAACCGTGATTTATGTGAGGATTATTTATCAGAAATCTTAAAATCGATAATATTTTTTAAACGGGGCGGACGGGTTTGTTCACACCTTTTTTTGTTAAAAATTTTATTTCTTTTATTTAAAATTGGCGTTCAGATGGATACGTGTCCGTTTTTTTATTGTACACGTATAAATATAAATAATATATTTTTATTTAATATTAATTTTACATGAAAATTATGTGGAAAGTTATTAGCAAGGAGTTATATAAAAGATGATAGTAATAGTTTAATGGAAGTTATTGTGTAAGTTATATATTTTAAAATAAAGATAAATTTGGTATAAAAAAAAGTTACACCAAAAACCAAGTATTGTCTTTATATATGTTATAGATTATAGATTAAAATAATTTTAACTATAAAAACAACCTTCTCCTTTTAAGTTTATGTTGATTGAATTGTATTATGAATTATTATACAAACAAAATAAATTATAATTGTTACATTTTTTCTATAACTTTCTAATACATGTGTTGATTGAAAAATTTTAAAATAAAAGAACAATTGTATGGCATGTTGAATTAGTAAATTCTCAAATATTATGTCACATGTTTTTTTTAGAAATAGATATTGATTTTAAGAAATAAATGATTTGATTAGTTTGTAGTGACAAATTTAGGATTTAAATATTAAGGAATCAGTTAATATAAGAGTCTATATGATGTAAACAGTGAGAAAGTCCGGTGTTGATATTTTATGCATTATTATTGTATGCACTGTGATATTTTATGCAACGTAATTGTTATCATTGTCTTTTGTAAATTCTTAATTGGGTTCTTTTAGTAGTTAGTTTTTAAATAGGATTATGATGATATGTATTGTTTATTTATTTATTTTGATATGTTTTTTATTGTGTTTCTGTTTATTTCTTTTTTTTTTGTAATTGGTCTTTTTTTTGAACTGTTTGGACTTAAGACATGTTGAAGTTTTATTATGCGTTCTTAAAAAAATCTTGTGTCGACCTCTTTAGTAATAAATAATTTTTTTTGTAAATTATGTAGTAAATCAAATTGTAAAATAACAAATTAGTAGGCCCGCCCGCCAACTCGTTAGTAAACGGGGCAGACTTGCCTTTTGAGCTCGAACGCCTATAATGGCCTGCTCCGCTTTTGGACGGGCTTAAACGGGACAGACCTAAACGGGGCGGGCTGCCCACTTTGTCATCCCTAAAGATATGGAGTATACCATATTAAGCAAATCAGTTTCTTGATAATGAATGTCAAAAAATATGTGTATATTGAACAATTCAACTAATTTTACTAAGCTTTTTCCTAGCCTCTGCTAGGGTTTCTGATATTCTTCTCTTTTGAGAAGTCTAATCCTTTTTCCTGGTTCCTGGTCTAATAAAGTATGTGTTATATTTCAAAAAATTTCATAGTTTCTCAATTCAGTGTTACGATTAAAAATGTCAAGTCCTAATATTGAAGGGTTTTCTCTTCAAGAGGAAGGTGAAGATGAAGGATTTTGCTTCGACGTGGAAGATGATGATGGAGAAGCGGTTGATTTAAGGTGGTGCTTGTAGGGAGGTTTTTGTGGGATAGACTGATCCATGTAAAGTCAATGAAAGCTAGAATGGCGGATATTTGGCGACCAGTGAAAGGTGTTACAATTAAGCAAGCTAAGGAGGGTCTCTTCTTATTTCACTTTTCTCACCATCTGGATATGGAAACAGCTCTGAATTGTGGTCCTTGGACTTATGACAATCATCTTCTAATTATTGAGAAAGTGCAAGTGGGAGTCCAAATAGAAAACATACCTTTTCACCATGTAGAGTTTTGGGTTCAAATCCATAACATACTCGTGGGCCTTATGCTGGAAAAGGTAAGGATAGCCATAGCTAATTTCATCGAAGTGTTTGTGGAATATGACAAGAAAAACAATACAAGTTTTTGGCAGCAGTACATGCGATTGAGAGTTAAGATTGACGTCAGGGTACCTCTGAAAAGCATACAAGAGTTAAGAATAAGGGAAAGGAGTGTTTCACAATTAACTTCAGATATGAGAAACTCATTCTATTATGCTTTGTTTGTGGAGTATCGGGGCACTCAAAACAGGGATGTGAAGTTTGTTTCTCTATGGAAGAAGATACTGGAGTTTGCGAATTGTCGGTTGATCTCAGAGCAGAGCATAAGAGGTATAACTGTGGTCCATCGTCAAGATGGTTTAAAATGACAATGGAGGTATGAGGGAGAAGAACAATAGCAATATATGAGTGGTACAAGTGAAACTGAAGTTCAAAAGGAAAGGGACCCATATGCATTGGTGATCCATGATTCTATTTCCGCAGTTATTTTGCATAATGAGGAGTTAATAACAAATAATAAGGCAGATTCATTTAGCAGACTCCTCATGGACCAATCAGTAGCAGCCAGTTATTTGCCCAAGTTGGCACTACTTAAGACAACCACCCGAGAATCTTGCCTAAAAGTTTAATGTCATATCACACCCAATCACCAACATTAGTAACGGTCTTTGAACCGATTCTGACACCTACCCCACTAGAATTTGTAGCCATTAATGCCCCAACCAACTACTTCCACAAATAGCCAATATGTTTTCATTCACATCTGAAGCCAAATAAACTTTACAAAATATGTTATCCCAACATAACCACACCTTGAAAGGCACACACATACCTTTACCCTCAAACTTAAACTTGTCACGTCCTTCGCAACACTAAAAAACAATCAATACCTTTACGACTGCCACCTCACCGGTCCTTAACCCCAAACTTTCTAGATTTAAAACCAAAACCATGCATGCTAAACATAACATCCAGAAACTTTCAAAACCTAGTTTAAACCTTATCAACATGAACTATAAATCTCTGAACCAGTCAAGTACCAGCATGTTGAGTCAACTAGCTCCTGTGGATAATCCTACTTATCAAAACAACTAATACGAACAAGTGCATGAGAAAAGAAGAAGAGAGTGTGATCAAGGGTAAATAGTGGATATCAATGTTATAACTCAACATTTTTTAACGGCAAGTTCTGACAGCTAGGACTATCATGACTAATGAAAATCCTTAGTTGGAATTGTCGGGGATTGAGCAACTTGAGAGAAATTCCTAACCTGCGGATTTTGTTTCATCAGCACCACCCATATATTATTTTCTTGTCGGAGACGTTAGCTAACACATAAAAACCAGAACATATTTGTGTTATGTTGAAGTTTGAAGCTTACTTGACCGTTGATGTCGTGGGGTGGAGTGGTACTCTTGTTGCTCTGTGGAAAGATAAGAAGTGGTGCAGTATATTGATTTTCCTAACTAAGGATGGAATCAGAGCAACTGTAGTTCTCCTAACTAAGGATGAGGAACTCTTGATAACAATCAAGGTTCCAAAACGGGAATAAGTATCCATAACCATGATACTTATACAGAGTTAACCAACTCTCTAAATATACATTGAAAACTAACTAAAGTTGACTTTAACCAAAGTCAAAGGATAAAGTGAGTATCCATAACCATGATACTCACATAGAGTTTACCAACTCTAAACCTAATTCTAAGTTGCAAAACCAATTGGTTTTAACTAGACCAATAGGAAGGGGATAAGTACTCATGACGATGGCACTTAAACAGGGTTGACAAATCTTAACCTAAAGCTAGGTTAAGGAGACAGTGGCACTAACAAGGCCAAAGATGATTACTTTGACAAGGTCAAAAGATAAGGTAGGGAGACTAAGCTATCCTAAAAGGGAGAGGACATAGAAGTCTGCAGAGGTTTCTTTCCTTTGGATATTGAGGAAGACACCTACTTGTAATAACAAGTATTAATAGAGGATCCCAAAGGCAAAAGATAACAATAAAAAATGCATAAATGACAACAACAAGATGAACAACTCATGATTTGAACAAGTAACAAAGATCAAACACTAAGACATGTCAGAAGTTAGTAGCAGACAAATGAAATACAAATATGCAAGAAGCAAACCCTAACTTGACACACCAATCAAAAATAGGAAAATAGTCAAATAAAGTCAAACTAAGGATTCTAATTCAAGTCCATACCCTCAAGGATATATGTGCAAAATATCATCAAAGGATTTGCACCAAAACTACATTAAGAACAACTAACAAGTTCATAACACCAAAATTATCGAGGCTTAACATAACCCAAACAAAAGCTATCAAGACAAACACATCAAAGCTCAACAAAAATGCGCAAACATCTTATATTCATGTATTAAAAGTTGGCAAAAAATCAGCTCAAGAAAGCATGATGAATCCACCCAAACAAAAGCTATCAAGACAAACACATCAAAGCTCAACAAAAATGCGCAAACATCTTATATTCATGTATTAAAAGTTGGAAAAAAATCAGCTCAAGAAAGCATGATGAATCCACCCAAACAAAAACCCTAAATGTGAGGGTAATTTAGTAAACTCACAACACAAAATAAATTAAATAAATTCGCAAAATAAATTAATAAAAATAAAATTAAAAAAAAAAACACCAAAATCTAGTTAAGATAGTAAGGCTCTCGAAAATATTTTTTTATAAATTTTTTTGAATATTTAGAAGATAGTAAATAAAATATAAAGTTAAATGATAAAAGAAAAAGAGAGAAAGAAAAAAAACAAAGAAAAGATCAAAGGGGGTGTATCTAGCAATTATTCCAAGTTGAAAAACTAATGGGCTTTAGCAAAGGGAGGTGGCAAAAGCAACAACCCATCCCACCTAGGGTCTAAGACGTAGGAATTTGGTGTGGTGCAAAGCACAGTAACTATGGTGAAATCAAAGAAGAGAACAATTAGATCATGTTACTCAGACTA